ACAGGATGATTAATATTGTCGTACATATTAATACTATGTAAATAATTGTACTAAATTTTAAAAGTAATAGTATACCATGGGCCATAGACTTCTATTTCTCTCTCTTCTTTTTTATACTATTTACTTAGGTGAAAAAACATATAGTGAGGCATGTATAGTCTCGTGCTGACTGCGCTAAAGATAACTCCGTAAGGTCTACCTTTTCAGAAAAGAACAGAAGGCATCTGCCGCCCTCAACTTCAAGGTATGTCGGCTCTCTTCCCGAGAAAGCAAGGGCCGAAGCAGATCAATTTTGTTTTTATTTCTTACAAAAGCGTTACACAGCTTCACAATAACATAGAAAAATACAAAGAAAACGTTGAACGCAATGTTCATGCAGCCTTTATCTGACTATACAAAAAATTGTTTCTCTCACTTGTTTTCGCAGTAATAAAACAAAAGGTTCCAAGCTCTTCTGTTAAACAAAAAATAAAATTTTCAACAAAAAACTCTCACCAGTTATCTCTCATCATAACAGTTAAAATAAAATTAGCTGTCCTTAGCTGTTTAGATCCTCCCGTCACGTAGAACTCACAAGTAAAAACACTTTTCGTTTAACAATGAAGAACATCCAAATGAAAAAAGAGAGGCTATCAGCCAATAGCTCAGGCCAATAGAAATCAGGCAATAGCTTGAGAAAAAACGTTGTTTTTCTCATATTCTACAACTATGCCTGCAAGATGGTATGAATATGAATTAAAATTAGTTTCCTTGACTGAAAGCAAGGGTTATAAATCCGAAATCACTGTCTGTCTATCTGGAGGCAAAAGAGAGAAAACTTTATTTTCTCGTTCAAGAAGAGGCAAATAGCCATGGAACTTCCACCATAGAGGTGATCAGAAGTCAGAAAATGACTATGAGCGATCTCTGTGATTGATTCTATTGATCGAAAACTTTATCTCAACTCGGAATAGAAACCCTGAATGTTGTATGGGGATCTCCAATAACTCTGAAACCCATCTCAATGAATTCTCCATAGTCACTTACCTATTTCATATCACTGTCATTCAGGGCCGGCTCAAGCCAATTTTGTCAAAAATGTTTTTGCGCCTTTTTATATGAAAAAATTTTAATCGAATTTCTGTTTTCCACTAAATTTGTTAATTATCATTTAGATTTTGTATAATAACACCTGTGTATGGTTTTTTACATGAATAACGAGGCGCCTTTTGAGTCTTCGCGCCTGTGTGTTGCGCGCGCCCTGAACCCGCCTTCAGCCGGCCCTGCTGTCATTCAATCAAGCAGAAATAAAGTTTTTGACCAATAGAATCAGCCTAGAGGTCGCTCATAGTCATTTCCTGTATTCCCATCGTTGATTACCTCTACGTGAAAGTTTCATGCCTGTATGATATTTTTTTGGATGAAAAAATAAGGTTTTCTCCCTTTTGCGGACGAACAGACTGATATTTTCAGATTTAAAATTCCTGCTTTCAATCAAAGGAATAATAATATTGTATTGGTAGAGATTGAAGTTTTAAAATCCTTTGTAAAGCATCGCCAACAGTGTTTTTAATAGGAATTTTAAGCAAAGTGGGTTTCCACAGTTTATCACTGCATTTTCCATGTTTTCCCTGTTAAAAACAAAGTGGAAATCGAATTTTCAAAGTGGAAACCCATTTTTTTCAAGCGAGACCCACTAATGGTGAAAAACACTGATCGCCAAATCGACGTTTAATAATGTTACTATGGGTAACCAAAAATAGTAGACTATGCTTTTATGCACTTTTACAGATGAATAATAATCTTATTCAGTATAAAAAAACAGGATGATTAATATTGTCGTACATATTAATACTATGTAAATAATCGTACTAAATTTTAAAAGTAATAGTATACCATGGGCCATAGACTTCTATTTCTCTCTCTTCTTTTTTATACTATTTACTTAGGTGAAAAAACATATAGTGAGGCATGTATAGATGTACATGTTACTAAAAATACAATTTTTTTTTCTGCTCTCTTTTTAATTTTATTTCTCTATAGCGTTAAATTAATTTTAGTATACATATATTTTCTCTTTTTTCTTCCTCACTGTCTTACTAGTGGCGATTTGTATATATATATATATAAATACACCATCATTAACAAATAGTCAGCATAAAACTTTTAAAAAAGTAAAATTTATAAAACTCTTCCATATTTTCTAATATAGTTTACTATTTCACAAATTTTTGAGAATGGGAAACGAAGGTAATGCACGTGCAATAATTAAACAGCTTGTTATAATGCTATGAGAGATTGACGCTATAGTCGTTGAGAAATACTGTTGATAGCCGTATTCTCTCCTAAAGCGTTGACGTCTTCCAGTTTTATAACAGTTGTTGAAAAAAAGAATTGTAACAATTTTGTTTCATAAAAAATTTCAAAGGTTCCAAAAAAAGTCGTTCATCAACCGAATTAACACAAAAAGAAATTGCGCTGTTAAAAGCAAATACAGGTTACAGTGAAAAAGGTAAATGTAATTAGTTTGCTACGTTTAGCGTCACTTCATTTGCATATTGAAAACACGTGATCTATTCCGAAGCGTGTGCTGTCTCTAAATTCCACAGAATTTAGATTAGAGAAATGGTTCAAGACTCACGAGGGATTTCAAACATCACGAACACATAAATCTCGTATAATTCTACAATTTCGGATGAATTGTATCAAAAGATCACAAGTTCTAAACGGAGTCCAAATGAAATTATGATCAGGCGTTCTTTCCCACTTAATTCCAGACTTTGAACTTAATAGTTTTATGTCCGTAATGCTGAGCGTTGATTCACTTCCATCTAACCGCTCCCTTCTGCCTCGCCCTTAGGAATGTTGTTTAACCAAATATATCTTGAATGCATAATAGAATCATCAAAGTAGTGTACAGTTGATTCAGAAATATCACACTGTGCTGCGTTCTTCTTGAAATACTTTACTATGCATGTACATTCTAGTCAGAATTTCTATAGTTCTATTGTCCGTAGTTTGCCATCTCTAATTTCGTGTCTCATCATTAAACCATATAATAATGGAGGACAGATGCTTAATTAGATATTTGTCTAAAATTTCACACATTTTTCCAACTAATTAATTTTTGTATTTTTCATGCTAATAAATAAATTCTTGTATTTTTATATTGTAGAAATTCGTGAATGGCATGCTGTAAGTGACTTTCTGCTGTAAAATAAAAATATAATCATCATCGACAACTGCTGTTATTTTTAGGGATTTTTACGCGATTGTCCAAATGGCAAACTAGATCAAAAGAAATTTGTACAAGTTTACAAGCAATTTTATCCAGAAGGAAAAGCTGATTCATATTGTAAGTATAATATTGCGAATTTAATGCATATAGAACCATGAATTTACTCTTTTGTTTTCCTACGTTTATCAGGTAAATATGCGTTTAATACATTCGATCAAAATAATGATGGTTCAATTGATTTTGATGAATTTTTGTTGGTAAGTCTAAATGACTTTACTACGAAGAAAATTACTCACTTCAAATCTCAATTTAGGCTCTTACTGCCACCAGTCAAGGTAAATCAACATGATTTTATACAAAAAATCTTCTAACATAGTAATTTTTTCATTCTACAGGTAGTCTTGACGAACGTCTCGGAGTTGCGTTTGATATGTACGATACAAGTGGTGATGGTCGAATTGATTCAAGAGAATTAGCTAATATGATATCAGCAATGGTAAGCTTTGTAATACAAACTTAAAATTTTTCTGTTGTTTAACTCATTTTATTACTTGTTCCACTTTAGTATGATTTGGTTGGAGACAATGATCGTAGAGGCGATCGAGATCCAAAAAGACGTGCCGCTGATATTATTGATAAATTGGATAATTCAGGAGATAACAAATTGACCAAACAAGAATTTGTTGCTGGGTATGTAAGGACATGTTTACTTGCTAATAAAAATTAGATTTGATTATTCTATTTTAGTTGCAAAAATGATCCCGTCATTCGACAAATATTGGCACCGAATGTTTAAAACTTTACAAAAATTCTAATGTTCAACGGATAACAATAATCCATTTACCTGCGATAGTATACGTCTAAAAAAAATTCGATATAAGCACCGTTTTATGTATCTTTCTTTTTTCTTCAACAGTTTCAGTAGTGATAAATTTTTTAGCAAAGGTACTTGGGGCGTAGAATATTTTTTATCATAATATATTTTTGTTCATCAGTTCTATCTTGTAATTACAATAATAAAACGTAGAGGAGATATATACACTCAAATAGGCTCCAAAACAAAACTGATAAACGTCTACTTAGGCCTATCCAAAAGTAGTGAGAAAGGTACTATTTTATCTTATAGAAAACTTGAAAAATTTTTCTTTTTTTATGAACAGATAGAGCGTCTTTCGCTCTATTTTTCTATGCTATTTGATCACTATTCAACTAATATCATAATAATAAAATTTCGATACGATCTGTTTCTTTCGCATACATGCTGGAAGCATGAATGCTCGTAAGTACTTTCTGAATAACGTTTGATAGCAACAAGATAGAGAACTGCGATTTGGAAAGAGGAGATGAAGGCGCATCGAACTGTAGATTACTGATTTTTCTAATATGATTTCTGAAGTGTTTTCATTCAATTTTCTAACCGTCCGAAAAATGCTATTTTTACGTAAAAAAGAAAAAAACAGAAAAGTTGATCGAAAATCGTAGAAGAGGTTCGTCTAGAATACGTATTATCCCCAAATAATTAAATTTACACGTGAGTCTTTCACAATTTGTAGATCTTTGATTAGCGGTTTGAATGTGAACCTGATTATTGGAAATTCACTGTAAACAACTCATGGGATAAGTTTGTTCTTTAAAAGGTCAACTAAAAACCTTACAAAAAACAGGTTAGAAAAATCAGTAATACATGGTTCGATGCGTCTTCATCC